TCAATGAAAGTTAAGAAATATTTATTTCCACCACGAGTAACATATCATTTTAAGTCACATAAATCCGAATGTATTAAACTTAAGACCGAAGTAGTCCTATCAACACGAGGAAATGGTTTTCTAGAATATTTAGATTCAACACACGTTTCACATTTTGAATTTGGACAATTATCGATTTTGGGAATGTTTCCCAAAGTCATTAATTTTTTAATAGAAGTTTTATTAACGTGTCCAAGTCTAGCATGCCACAAATCATAAGAATCCAACAAGTAAACGGAAGAGCTAGATGCTTTATTGTTAATCACAGAGACATTGAGTTTAAACAGATTCTCATCTGCATACCCTTTCCCAACAAAGGAACCACCCTTAGACAGTACAACTTGACCACTTTCAAATACAATCTTAAAACCCTTTTTTACTAAGATAGATCCAGATACTAGATTTTTCCTAATATCAGGTACATAAAGGACATCCTTCAAATTAAGGATATTTCCAGAAGTAAATCTAAGCGTTACAGTTCCTTTCCCCTCTATTTTGGAGGAGGAAGCATTGCCCATGAACAGACATTCTCCATCACTAGCGGGAGTGAATGAAGAAAATGCACCTCTTGTGCAGCAAATATGCTTGGTAGCTCCAGAATCTACCCACCAGTCTGTCATGTTGCTTACTAGATTCACTTCTGTCACCATAGCAGAGAAATTCCCATCCTCTACCACATGTGCCTGATGCTTCACAGCTTCTCCTTTCCTATTTCTGCAATCCTATGCAAAGTGACCTGGTTTACCACAAACAAAACAATCACCAACACTTTTATTTTTAAATTGGGGCTTAGACCGATTGTTCTTTCCTACAAATTGTTTTCCCTTATTTCTGCCTTTAAAATTCTGACCCCTTGTACAATTTCCAATTGGTTTCTTAGTCCCAGAACTTCTTTCAATAAGATTAGCCTTGGTATCAAAATTTGGCCTTTCCTTACGTTCTGCCATTCTATTGTCCTCCTCGATTCTAATCCTGATAATCAGATCCTCTAAGGACATTTCTTTTCTCTTATGCTTCAAACTATTTTTATACTCTTTCCAAGAAGGTGGCAATTTTTCAATTATAGCTGACACTTGAAAGCCCTCACAGATTTTATATCCTTCAGCAATTGTAAAACCAGGTTTATCTAATTCAATAGCATCAACGACTTTAAGTGTTGTCAAATAAAATCGCAATTTCATTTGCCATCTCTTAAAATTCTTTCCATCAAACAACTCATGCTTTTCAGAATACTTAGGAACAGATATATCTACGGCAGACATGGCAACTAATTATAAAGATAATTTCACTTTAGACTGTTGGAAAAATAATTAGTTGCAGCGGTGATCAGAACAATATAATGCAGAAATATAAAACTTATCGATCGAGTCTCGTGACAGCACGATGTCCTAAAGTGAAATTGCCCGTCAATAATTGCTGTGACCTCCGTGGACAATCACTCCCAGGATACAACGATCGTAAACCACTTATGCAGCAATCACGAATGGTTTTTCTAGAACTCTCAATTGTACTCCAGAATAGGTATAAAAACCCGAATATAAGAAATTCACAATATGAAAAGAGTGATTGATTCTATTTTCTTTTTGTGTGTCTTTTCCCAAAGCAAGATATGGGTTTATATAGGCAAGATGGTAGTAACAGTCTTCACCATGTTAATGCAGAATTTTAATGACTGAGTAGTGGGTGTTTTAATGGCAGTTAGTGAGTTGTTACAAAAACAAACAGTCATAAAATACTGGCTAGTTTTACCCATTAAATAATGAAGAAAAAAAATATATTTATTTTAGTCAAGGAAGCCCAAGAGCTCAAGGCCCCAAGGCCCAAATCAAGACATTTTAATATTTGCGTGGGAAGTGATTCGAACCCCTGACGTCCCACACAAATGTCACATTTCCCACCACTTTGACACTTTATCTAATTTGATTATTTCTTTCACATTTTATATTTATACCATAAATATATAACAGTCTCTACATTCCTTTTTTAGATACTTGCTTAGGCAGTATGACGTAGCTCCAACCCAGCTAGTACCAAACACATGGAGCCAGATGGCCGGGGCATACCTTCTTTGGAAGGAGTTCACTCTTGGCGAGGATATCATGTTTTCCAAACTTTGTTTCAATCTCTCTAATGGGGGGAAGATTGTAAGGGATAATATTGCATTAACCCTTGGGGTTCGCATTTCCCCTTCATCGAGGGCACTCCTACGTCCATCAAAAACTGGAAGTCTTCATGGTTCTGGGTTAGTGGTCTCTGGTTGACAGTAGAGGGGAATGTGGTACCAGAGATTACTATTTCGACTCAATACCATGAATATAGTGAGTTTGTTTCCAATCGAGAACTTGTATTCTCCATTTGCCTTGTGTTTTTCCAATTCGCTTTTTCTGCAGCTGCAGTCGACTGGTTCGAGTTGGAGCCAGTTGAGTGGGACTGCCATAAAGGCCATTTATGAGCTGCCATTGGAGAAGAGGTTCTTCAGGATGATACAAGGGAAGAGAAACCTCTTCGTGACCCATCTTCTGATGCCGACTAAGGGTTAGTGTGTCGTCCAATTCCATTTGAGGGTACTTATCGTGCTGCCAATGTTAATTATTTTTATTTGCAGAGCAACACGACAAGAATGAATATGTCAAGCTAGACAAATTCTTTATGAGACGGCTCGCTGAGGAGAAGAAGAAGAAACCTCTGAGCTCCGGTTAGACTATGTACAAAAATGAGCAGGACGAAATGGCTCAACTATCGAAGTTGAACCCATCTCCTCCTCTAGAGAAGAAAGGAGAGGCAAAGGGTAAAGAGAAAGTTGAGCCTTCCGGAGGTGAGAAGAAAATGATGTTGGTCCTCACGAAAAATGATGGGTCCCCACCGCCTCTCAAGTGACAGACAACGATTGACGAGTCACTTAAGAAACCAATTGAGGCAGAACCAATTTCTACGATAAAAATAATTGAAGCAGAAGAGACGGTCGAAGAAGAGGGGGCCTCGTGAAGAGGCCATGGGGCAGGCAAGTTATCAAAAGCTCTACTTAAGAGGGCCAAGCCCAAAACATTTTAGGGAGGTAGATCCAATGAGATTACACCCGAGGTGATGGAGATGCTCTCCGCTGAGGTCCAATCGACGGCAAGGGTGTATCATGAATATTGGACGGACAAGTACTCCTTCTACACCGAGATATGTGACGCGGTGGACATGGTAGAGGTGAGGCTCGCTATGTAGGCTCGGTCACAGAGTTTCTTCGTAAATGACCAAATGGACATGAGGAGGCTACAAAGGGCCAACTGGAAGTTCGAGCGTAGAGCTACTGAGGTGGAGGCATAGGCCAAAAAATTGAAAGCTGAGGCCTTCGCTGTAGGAGAGGCCCTCGAGTCCTCAAAGTTGAAGCAGGCTGAGTTGGAGTCAACAATGGAGCAGCTGACTTAAAAAATAAGGACCTAACCACAGCAGTTCATCTTTGCAGATCCGAGGTGAATGCTCTGATGAAGCGGGTTGAGAATTCTGATAATTTTCAGAAGATTGCTTCGACGGGTTTGGAAGTAGCTAATAAAGAGAAAGCAGAATTGAAAGCCAAGGTCGAAGAGCTCACTGCAGAGGCTGCAACCCTGAGGCAACAAGTGGATGGGGCAGTTCATGAATACATTGCCCATTTTCACGAAATGGCTGAATGTGACGGTCTCGGAATGTACTAGGGAGGGGTCGCATATAATGAGATCTTGAAAAGGCTCGTCGTACCCTCAGCTAGATTTGGCCTCAATGAAGGAGAAACTCATTCCAACAGAGCCCTCAACTCCTGCTGATGAAGGGGATGGATCTGAAGGAGTGCAAAATGGAGGGATGTAGCTTAGGGTCTGATTTTTGTACTTCTAATTTTGCCGAAGGCACAATTATGTGATATTGATTTTTCTAATTAACTAGTTTCACCAAGTCGATCATATTTTGTCGCAGACAATAATTTTTTCCAAAGAGACCTATGGGCTCACCGTATACAAATTAACTTAGGTAATTTGCAGCACATGAACTTGTCCTGTTTATATATATATATATATTCCCGCATGCCCATAATTATTAAGAAAGTCTGCTTTTTGTCTCAGCCATGGCTTCAAAAATTTCACCATTAAAAATTGCATTTGCATGTGCAGTTCTCTTTCTATTATCAGCAAACAAATATGCACGTGGATGCTACAAATCCATAATCAGTTTTGGTGATTCACTTGCTGATACTGGAAATTTGCTTTATTTAGAATCAACTTCGTCCAACAAGAAGCCAAGATGTGGGTTCCTTCCTTACGGAGAAACTTTTTTTCATCATCCCACCGGTCGATTCTCTGACGGCCGTCTTATCATCGATTTCATTGGTAAGTCAACTGCCCACAGAGAGAGAGAGAGAGAGAGAGAGAGTTCTTTCAGGCAGTACATACAAATATTACATACGGATATATTCTCTTGGGTTGTTGATATGTGCTATCCTTGCAGCTCAAGATATGGGGCTTCCATTTGTGCCGCCATTCCACGGCGAAGGAAATGTAAACAGAAGGAATTATCGGGAAGGTGTGAATTTTGCAGTGGGCGGAAGTACAGCTCTGGAGGACTCATTTTTTGCAAAAATAGGAGTCAAAATTCCTTATGCAAATGTCTCTCTGGCGGCTCAGATGAGTTGGTTCAAAGAGTTTTTGTCTACAATTTGCCATGAACCCTCAAGTAAGAAGAAGCTCCCGTTATTTGTGTGATGTTTTACTGAAAAAATTAAAATACCCTAGAACCTCAATAAATTAATAGTCCATAGATTGATAATATCGATTAAGATTATAATTTATAGAAAAATCCTTATGATTTTATATATCTAGTATTGCTTGTTTTTTTTAAATTGATATTGCTGGGATTTGGATAGATCTCTAACTATTTGTAATACATAATATGAAGAGATGGTATGACATTCTTATATTAAATTAAAAATTATTTAGTCCAAATTTTATTTTGCTAAAAATCAATTATTAGATCTTGATAAAAATTGATGAAACATGTGGTCGAAAAATTGATAGCATTTTTGGATCCAAAAATGTGTGTTTAAAATTAATTATTGAATTAAATTTAATTTTATTAACTTTCTTAACTAAACCAAACAAGGGATTAAATTTATTGTCTATATTGTTTTGAATACTTTTTAGTACAACTATATATTTTCTAGAGCTGTGTTGAATCTTTTTAATATATTTTTATCAAATTTATAAATTAAAAAAATTAAGAACATATTTTTCTTCATTTATTGGGCTATTGCTCATTTTTTTTACACTTGAACCCAATTTGGCAAAATTTATAAATCATTTGTAAATGGCCAAATTTTACATTCGAATATATATATATATATATATATATATATATATAATTACCCATTAAAATAGTAGGGGCTTGATTGGTTAAGTAGGGTATTAAGAGCTTATTTAATGTATATTTTTCGAGAATAAATTTTATGAAAAGTAACATTTTTTAAAATTGTGTAGTTAAAAGGTACGAAAAAGTTATTAATTCATGTACAAAATTATTTTATTAAGAAAATATATGGTTGAAAATGAGTTTTAAAAAATTGTAACAGACAAGATTAAATATTAAGGAGTAGTAAGGAAAGAAATTGTAATCTATATTTCCTATACTCTTTGATTATGACTGAATCTTGCAAGTTCGCATGCATTTTAACATTTCAATTTTGATATAGCTCAAATGTTGGATCGACTGTGAAATAATACTTCTATTTTCCCAAAAGATAGGGTTGGTGAATGACAAAGACTTGAGTACCAATTATTTTCCATATAGCTCATTAGGTGCACCAAATAATTTTTTACTCACTTAGATATCTCGAGGATTTGGTGCTTCGCAAAGTGGCGACAATCTAAATAATTAACTTGCACATGAACTACGAGATCTATAAAAAGAATTTAAAAAATTGTATAATGAATTGAGTTACTTTTAGAAAATCAATGAACACGTGTCAAATTCATATTTAATTTAGTTTAATAATAAAAGAAAAGGATCGAATGAGCATCTAAGTGGGCGTAGCATGTGGGTATATATTTTATTATTTCGACAGTCATAAGAATAATAATGCTGCATAGCAACGTACACAGTGGACTTTAGTATATTAATCTGGAATTTCTTAATTAAATACTGTTTTATGCAGATTGTAAAAAATTTCTTCAGACCTCACTAGTTCTCATGGGAGAAATAGGAGGTAACGATTATAATCATGCATTATTGGGAGGGAAAGCCGAAGAAGAAGTTGGATCATTTATCCCTCGGGTCGTCAAAACAATCGGTTTAACAATTGAAGTAAGCACTTACAAATATTTTTCTTAAGCCTTTAATTATATTATGCAGTATAAATTTGGTCAGAATAATATATGTAAATTAAATTTTACTAATATTTTCTTGTCACGCTAGGAATTGATTAAAGTTGGAGCCACTACACTAATGGTGCCTGGGAACTTTCCAATTGGATGTTTGGCGTATTATCTTACTTATTTTGAACGTTACAAGGAAAAATATATTCGAGATCCGAATACAGGATGTATTAGTCAGCTAAATATATTCTCTGAGTACCATAATAGTCTACTCCAAATGGAGCTGGAGCGCATTCGACAGATTCACACTCATACTACCATTATCTATGTGGATTATTACAATGCTACAATGTCCATTTATCTCTCCCCCGACAAATATGGTACATTATTTTAATTCAACTTCCATATCAATACATTACGTTTGAATAAGCTTAATATTTGCTTAAATTTAAGTAATTTTTTAATTAAAAATAACTTATTGTAGGATTTACGAAAGGGACTCTTACTGCATGCTGTGGAGGGAAAGGACCTTTCAATGTCAGCTTGACCGTGCATTGTGGAGATTTAGGATCAACCACTTGTGAAGACCCATCTAAATATGTGAATTGGGATGGTTTACATTTAACAGAAGCAGCCTACAAATGGATAGCCAGAGGTTTCCTGGAAGGACCCTACACTAGTCCGCAGCTAATAACTGCTAAATGTGCTTCTAGCTTTAAGAGTCGTGGATTTAGATTAAGTAAGATTATGGGTCTAATTGGAAAATAATTCATCCTCCTTGTGTAAATTAATCGAAGGTCTATATTTCCCATTGTAGTTTAATGCAAAAGTCAAGTCTTATAGTATGGGATCCTATGTTGGACATGAACTAGATACATTTCCATGCAAGAAAGGTATTTTAGTCTAATTTTTTTTTTTTTTTTTGTGTGAAATCCTTTTTGACCACCCTTTCAATGATTTTGGGATTTCAAAAAATTAAAAAAATTAAAAAATTAAAAAAATTAAAAATTAAAGTACATGATCTTGGTAAAATTGAATAATTTTGTATTGCTGGAAAATTTGACTTAAATACCATGTTTTGTGTATTTTTAAGTTCAAAGTTTCTCTAAAAATTTGTCTCGTGTGCTTGTAAGCAATGCGACTACTTCCAAGAAGCAAAATTGTTAGAATAAGGAAAAGTTGGTGCACCTACAAAATCGTCCAAAATAATTTACCATGTATTTTTGGTGTTATTTTATTGTTACTATTTAGTTACGTATTTTCTTTCTTTTTAGGAAAAATACATTTTTCAATTTCGACCTTTGTAATTTATTGTTAATCTGCCCTCAAACATTTCAGCTCTTCGTTTCTCCAGTCGAGGGGGCAGTCTCACAGTAGAGACAAGCTCATTTTCCAAATTAAAGATTCAACCTCAAATTTTTAATTTCTAATGGATTGTGAAGATAATTATGATAGCGATGGCTGGTGAGTTGCAATGTGTGACAGGTTGTAGTTCGGATGAGGTGAGGTGAGGTGAGGTGTCATTCGAAAGAAAATGATTTATTTGCTTTTGTTGAACAATAAAGTTACTTAGCCAGGTCCACATGGACCCTGGCCATCCAGTGGCTCCCTCTGTTGGTGGAGGTCTTAGGGTCCAGGTGACCCCGGCCATATAGAGCTTTTTTTTTTAAATGATATAGAACTCATGCTATAATATTTTCTTTATTTTTTTATTTAGCTACTTTCTCCTCTCTTTTTTTTTTTTAAATCTGAAGAGGAGGAAATATTCATCATTTATGCAGATTTAATAACAAAAATGGATGAAATGACATGATTTGTAATTAAGTCAAAGGTTGGGATTGTCTAATGCTAAAAGAAAATGTTCACCCAAATTTGAACAAAATTATACCTCAATCACTTATATCATTTCCATCGGTATTACCTAGAATAAAGTTTAGTAAGTAACGAGTAATTTTTAAAATTTTGATGAGCAATGTTTATTGAGCAATGAGTAACTTTTTAAAAATTGATGAACATGTTGTAACAATTAAATTATCTATATTATCGGTCGTTTCCAGCTGGAACGCTGTGTGGGGAGAATTCATTTATTGATGGAAGTTGGGGGTTGGGGGGGGGGGGGGGAGAATCAATAGTGTAGATCATGCCAAATGGATAGTGTAATCCATAACATAACACACACTTTACCTGCAGCAACTTTGTTCCTGCTATTACACTTCAAATATCAAGTCTCATTAGACTCTACTATGGAAACCCTAGACGCAATACACATATGGGCTACGGAAAAAGAAAGCCATTTGTTAGGCAATTTTGTTGTCAAACGACCTCCCCGGGCGATGATGTAACCTCGGTTGTTTATTATCAATCGGCCTCGGCCTAATGATTGATTAGTACATCGACATAATTAACGAGACAACACAATCCACTTTGTTATGGACCGTTCGAAGTAACCTATTTTATAGTGTTGCTCACGGTTCCCGCACCATTCCTTGGAAGGCTATATTATTATTGTTGAGGCCCAATTATTTGAGTCGAGCCTTGTTTGTTGATCCACCACTTAGTCCTAATTGTAACTTACCTTTTTGGACAATATACTTGGCATATAATCCCCTCATTCTCTCGGCCTCCATTAGAGTGAAATAATCCCCTCTTTGTGAGTTCTCTCTCTCGGCCTCTCCTTCCTCCTTTCACTGTGACCTTTGTGGTTAACATATTGTGGGTATATTCTTAGTCTCCTCCTTCCCAATTGATAGCAACCGGACCGGTGGCGGCATAGGTTGGTGTTGGAGTTGTCTCAAGTTTTGGTGTCGATGTTTTTGGTAAATTGAGCCCGGTTTTGGCATGTGTTGGCTGTGGAATTCTGCCTACATCTGGTATCAGAGCCAGTAGAAGCTTTCCCGGCCTGAAATTTGACAAAAATCGACGGCAATCACGATTTGGGTTTGAAGAACCGTGGTTGCAACCTCGTTTTCCGGCCAATCCAGCCACTTTCCGGCGAAACCGATCCCATATTCGGGATCAGCAGGCTGAGGCGCTCCCTCGGCAGTGGCGCGTGGCGGCGGCGGCGGCGGCGGTTCTGGGCGAGCTTCCTTCGGGCAGTTTGCTTAGTTTAATCCCCTGAACGCACTGACACTGTTTATTTTCTGTTTCAGGTTATACAGAAAAGTTGGACAATTTTGCCCCTGGTGGATCGACGGTTGAATCTGCATATATCTACTGAATTACTTTAGGCCAAGATTGCGGTCCTAAAGCAGTGATTCGCATTTCTCTCGATAATACGGACTCAGACACGTCCGCTCTGGTAAATTGGCTTAACCCGTTAATTTTTCAGCATTAGCGCGTCACCGTGTGGGGTGACAATAGGTTGGGGGTTGTCATTACTTGGCAACCATTGCTTGTGCTAGAATTAGGGTTATGTGCTTTTAATTGATCCTTTTGATTAAGTATTTGTTTTTGGGTTTTAAAATCAGTTTTGTAATTCTTAGTGATCAAAATTACTGTGGGACTAGTTTTCTGCTAGACGTATTTTTTGCTGCATTGTTATTTCCGCTGCTTACTTATTCGGTTAGAAATACCGTGACTTTACCCTTTCGAACATTCCCTTGATCTAAGACCGCGAGTTTTACGAAACCCTGAGAATCTAGAACAGTGTATATTGTCCGTGACCCCTAGGACTACTTTGTGTGGTTTGATTGTGGTTTGTGCATTTTTTTTTTGGCTATTGTGTGAAGATGACAACTCATAGTTTTGATTTGGGAATTTTTAATGGAAAGTGTGACTTTGCTATTTGGCAACAAAAAATGAATGGTATTTTAGTCCAACAAAAGGTTTCAAAAGCCATTGAAGGCAATTTTTCAACTGATTTTTCACAAGAACAAAGAGAAGAAGCCGATGAGCTTGCTTATACCTCAATTATCTTACACTTGTCCGACGCGGTTTTAAGAAAGGTGGGTAAATTAAAAAACACCTAAGAACTTCGGAAGAAATTAGAAGACTTGTATTTGCTTAAGTCTACACCTAATAAACTTTACCTGCTTGAACGTTTTTTTAGTTTCAAAATGGATTCCTCAAAGGATCTTGATGACAATCTAGACGTGTTTAACAAATTGGTGCAAGACATAGTTAATTGTGATGAGACTGTGTCCGAAACTTATAAGGCTATAATTTTGCTAAATGCAATCCCTGATTCCTATAAGGAAGTTAAAAATGCCATTAAGTATGGTAGAGACACGTTAACACCTGAAATTGTCATAGATTCCCTTAGAAGTAAAGAAATGGAAATTAAGGCTGAAAAACATGATAAAAGGAATGGTGAAGTACATATGATGCGGGGTAGAACTCAATTTAGGCAAAATAGTCATGAGGGATATCAAACTAGTGGCGAGGCAAGTGGTAATGGATGGAAAAAGAAGAGCAAAGGTAGGTCTAGATCAAAATCTAGAACTAAGGCGAGAAAATGCTATGGTTGTGGAAACACAGGGCATTTTATAAAGGATTGTCATAAGGAGAAGGGTAAGCTAAAAGCTAAGGAGAGAGATGAGGTATATGTGTTAGCATCTACTTCTGATATAAATGATGGTGAGGTCTATATGATTACAAGTCCAGCTGCATACACTGCTGAATTAAATCTAACTGCTAATTCCCGCATCCATGAGTGGATACTTGATTCTGGTGCATCTTTTCATGTGACGTCTGAAAAGAACTGATTTTGTAAGTTGCATGAATCTAAAGTTGGGCATGTTGGGCTGTGTGATAACTTTACCTATACTATCGCTGGAATTGGTGACATAAACGTAAAATTTGACACGGGTTTTGTGTATACGTTAAAGGATGTTAGATATATTTCTGAATTGTCTAGGAATTTGATTTCAGTAGGGAGACTTGAGAAGGATGACTTTACTGGTAAAATTGGAAATGGTATGCTAAAAATGATCAAGGGAGCTTTAGTTTCCATTAAGGGAATTAAGAAAAACGATATATACATTACTACTGGGGAAGTGATTAGAGATATGAATTCCTCTATCTCCTCTGTCAAGATTGATCACACACACACATGGCACAATAGGCTTGCTCACATAGGAGTCAAGGGACTTAAGCTACTTAATGAAAAGGGTGCTTTTGGTAATGACTGTGTGTCAGATTTGCCATTTTGTGATCATTGTGTGCTTGGCAAGCATCACAAAACTTCTTTCTCCACGAGTATTAATAGAGCTAAAAGCATGCTCGAATATGTGCATTCTGACCTTTGGGGCCCTGCCAATAACCCTACATCGGGTGGTAATAGGTATTTCCTATCTATTATTGACGACTACACTAGGAAAGTGTGGGTTTATCTTTTGAAGGATAAATCTGAGACCTTCAATAGTTTTAATAATTGGAAGAGACAAGTGGAGAAGCAGACTGGCAAGAAAATCAAATTTTTAAGGATAGATAATGGCCTAGAATTCTGCAATAAAGAATTTGATAGTATGTGTAAAGAAAGCGGTATAACTAGACATAAGACTGTTCCCTACACCCTTCAGCAAAATGGGGTAGCAGAAAGGATGAATAGAACCATACTTGATAAAGTACGTTGCATGATGATCAGTTCGGGTGTTCCCAAGTCATTTTGGGGTGAGGCTGTTATGACAGCTTGCTATTTGATTAATCTTACACCCTCTGCTGCATTGAATGGTGATACTCCACATGAGAGATGGTCGGGTAAATTGAGTGATTACTCGATACTTAGAACTTTTGGCTGTACAACGTTTTCTCATCAAAGTGAGGGTAAGCTGGAACCTAGAGCTAGGAAGTGTGTTTTCTTAGGATACCCTGAAGGTGTTAAGGGTTATAGATTATGGGATAGAAGTAAAAACGGA